TGTATTTCCTGGTTTATCCAAATGAGATGATGTGAAGTGAATGAAAGATAAGATGTCAATATGAATGAAATGTTCTCCTAGAAATGTCATTTCCAACTTCCTAGTCCACTTGAGAATATCGGAGCTTTAACCAAGTGAAAGGAATTGAACCAACAACTCGTTAATTCACTTATCAATTAGATAGATTCCACAACTGCAGTAACCTAATAATAAACTTGGATATCATTCGGCCAAGGATTAGAAGCATAACAAATCAAATGTCTCTACGGCAACCACCACCGTGCCTTACCCTGAATATCATTTGAATCAACTGTGAAGTCTGAATCAACTCAACCAGAAACCACAATCAAATTCTACTAAAGAAACAGAGATAGCAATTTCAACTCGAACTTGCAAATGATTCATTATTCAGGTAATTCTAAATCAGATTCAATAACTCCAGTTAAGTGTGTGTCAATGTCAAATTCTGAAATCATAATATGAGCTAAACAACACGTCCAATCCAGATTACAAATTCAGACTACAATTAAAGAAAGAAAAGAAACTCGCCAGCGAAGCAAGGACACAGGCATAAGCTTCATCTCCGGGTGAACACAAGCGATCAGCCACGCGTGCCGCTGAAGTGAACTCCACTTGAGCTAGAAGACATGGCCGCCATCGAGGAAGACGGGATGGAAGGACAGAGTGAACGAGATGAGGAGAGTGAGATCGATCTGAGATGATTGTGAAGTGGCCAGGGCGGACACGACGATGATGGTGAAGGAAGTGATGAGAGGAGGTGATGGTCGCAAATCTGGATCTGTGCAGTGTGGCGGACCCCACGAGAATGAAGATGATGATGGTGATCTCTCGAGTGATCCATAAAATGCTGTGTTTCTATGGTCTCTGATCCTATGCTGCCTCAATTGCCCCTTCAATTTCTTGCGGATTCTTTTTAGCGTATAAGGTACTGTTTGGTACGAAAAAAAATAAGAAAGGAAGGAGAAATTTTTTTTTAATAAGATATATTTAAAAATTTTGAAAGAGTTAGGTTTTGAAATTTTAAAAAATAATACTCCTCTGATCCTTAATATAGGACCCAATTGTTGAGTTGGTTTTGGTCCTAAATATAAAACCCATTTATCATATTTATCAATTTTCTCTAAATTACCCTTATGGATACTCCCTCAACCATAATCAAATAGAAGAGGGAGATGGGGTATTAAGAAAGATGATTATGGTGTTTTAGGAAAAATGTGTCAGTTTTCTTATAATTAACCAACTTACCTAACTTCCTTAATATAATCAAATTAGTTAAATGGGTCTTATATTAAGAACCGGAGGAGTAATATAAAAGCTTTTAACCTTATTTTTTTAATTTTTTAAATTAAGCTTATTAAAATTTTTCTTCTCTCCCCTTCTCTTGTTTTTCCTCATACCAAACGGACCCCAACCTGAAACAAAATCGGAAATTGCTTTAACAATTTCAATGATTAATTCTGAAAAATATAAACATATTAAGATCATTTATTCACAGAAGTTATTTTCCTTCCTAATTTCACTAAAAATATTCAATTAATGCATAATAATAATGATAAACCCCATAAAATGATATCAAATTCTGCAATAAAATAGGAATTTATCAATAACTAATTTAAAAAAATTTCTTAATCTATTCCATTTAGTCAACTAGCTCTTATATTAAAGATTAGAGGTAGTAAGAAACAATATAATAATAAAAACTGGAAATGATTACATACATGCATACATGGGCTATGATGAATTTAAGGTGCATGGTAATAATAATAATAATAATAGTAATTTTGACTTCTAAGTTATAAGAGATTATACCTTCGTAAAATGTCGTCCCCGTAATAAATACGGCCTCCCTTCCTCAGCTCTTTATCGCCCAACTGTTGAGTCTTTTGACTCTCTCTCTTTCCCTCTTTTGTGGCTGCGTCTCCAGTGCTGTCCAAGTTTAAATTTTAGTAGTCCAAATCTAGTCTAAAAAATATTTAGATGGACATCAAATCATAATTTTAGAAGTGATTTTATATTATACGAAATAAATATATAAAAGGGTTTGTTTCGATTTACAGAAAAATAGTTTTAAAAAGCACTTATAGAGAAATCTAAACACTCCCTAAATCATGTGTGAGGAATCTTCACTCTTCTCTACTTATTTTCTCACGTAAACAAGAAGGAAAATAATCGATAACCTCAAGTTTTCTTGCTAATACAATGTTCAGATTTTTTTATAGTTAAAACATCGTGACGTTAAAGGAAAAATTATAACAAGGTCTCATATAAAAAAATTAAATACAAAAAAGCTTTTTAAAATCATTAAATTATACTAAAGTTCCAAAAGAACTCATTGTAATAAATTTTACTTGTTTAATTATCAAATTTCTTTTATCTTTTTTTAAAAAGTATGTATTCATAACTGAGAGTACAGTCGTTAATAATTTAAGACGTAACGATTAACAACTATCATAACAAGTATTGATAATATATTTTTTCAACTCATTACAAAAATGTAATACATGAGTTGTTAATACCTATCGTGATAGTTAATCGTTTCGTCTTAAGTTGTTAACCACTACACTCTCAACTATTAATACATACTTTTAAAAAAAGATAACGACAATTTGGCAGTTAAAACAAATAAAATTCATTACAATAAAATTTTTTAGGACTTCAGATTAATTTAATAATTTTAAAAGACTTTTTTGTATTTAATTCTTTTAGGTAGCACCTTATTGTAACTTTGCTTAATGTGTCCAAAAATAAATGTATTATTCCATGACTTTTATATTTGAACAGAAGCATCATGTTGTACAAAGCTATTAATAATTTTGTAATCTAATGTTATGAAAACTTCTCTCTAAGTGGCGGGGAGTTTGGATTCCCCCTACAATCAATTTATAAAAAAATTTATACGAGTTATATCGTAAAATTATTTCTTAAAAACTACTCAAAACATCTTTCTAAGTTTAGGTAATCAAATGCACAGAGTTTTGATTGAGGGGAGCACTAGTAGAATTGGGCTTAAGGGATTTTTAGAAACACAAACAAACACAACAAAAACCGTCTTTCTGTTGAAAAATAGTCAAATTGGTATAAAACACATAATTCCATAAAACATTATAGCATATGTGCGTTTGAGAAATACCATTTCAAAACATTACGAGTAGATGATAAAGAGTGTTGGCAAAAACAAAAAAAAAAGAAGAAGAAGAAGATAAGTAGTTGATAATTAAATAGTTAACTGATGATTTTGATTTTAGTATCTATTAATATTAATATGGTTTGTTTTGGTCCTATAAACAATAACCATATTTAGTACTTGTTAAAAAATTTTTATACTCTTATTAAAAAGAAGTAATAATAAGGTAATTATTAAAAGAACAGAACTTATATTTATTTGATTAAAATGGATTGTGCTAAACATAATAAACTAAGTCCCTTCATTTTAATCATAATAAAAAAAATCATACCTTTAACAACAAAATAAATATATAAGAATGAAAAAACATTTTATGACATCTCTACATTATCTTTACATCATTTTTCTAAATATCTCCTTCTAAACACATTTGATTATAGAGCACTTATATACAAATAATCTTCATTAAATATTAACTACTGATTTATACATTATTTGTTTATTATTCATGAGTCAATAGCTAATTTCAATATTTTTCTCTCATATTATAAATTATTTCAAAAGTAATATTGACAATAAATTAAAAAAAGTTTAAAAAATAAAATTAAGGACAATACTTATATCAAGTTCCCGATATTTATTATGTCACGTTCTCATATCATATATAATCATGTGCCCAGTGCCCTATTGTTAAAATAGATTAAATTATAAACTCACAGGAAAAATTAGAACATATGACTATATATGATTGGAGAACTTAATATAATGAATATGAGAAATTTCATTTTACCATTTTGATTTATGTTTTAATCAATAAACATGAGATGTGATGAGAGCCAAATTAGGAAATTTCACTAGGAATAATTTATATTTTGACATGTGATGTTTTTAAATAATTATAATTTTAATAATTTTTTTGTAATGAATGCAATTCTCTTCAAGTCGTTGGCATTAATTTTCTCATTGTTAAATTATAGTATTTCTCAAAGAAAAATTTACAACTATTTATTAATCTAACTAGCTTTTAAGTATTAGTCATTCATCTCAAAAAGGATAGAAGTGAGTTGGTAACTGTTACTTAATATTTATATTAATGCCTTTAAAAAGAATGCGCTCCGCACTATGATTATTAAAAGGATAAATATATTATTAGTTCCTATAATTTTGGTTGAATTTTGAATTTTGGCCCTTATAATTTCAAATTGTTGATTTTGATTCCCATAGTTCAATAAATTTGGTATGAATTTAATGAATGGTTTTTAAATTTTTTAATGATTTTGATTTCTATACTTAAACTCAAATCAATTTTTTGAAAGCTACCATAATGAATGGGGATGAGCTGTGATAACAAAGGATAAAAATATAAATAATGTAAATGTAAAGAATTAAATTTTAAATGAGTTAAAAGTTTAGGATCTGAAGTATAGCGAGCCATATACCTAAAAAGACTGAATTTTAATTGAGTGAAGGATTAAGGCCAAAAAAAAAAAGTTCGCTTTTAATGATCTTGATTTCTATACTTAGACCCAAAACAAATTTTTGAAACCTACCATGATGGGTGGAGATGAAATGAGGTAACAAAGGACAGAAATATAAATGAGGTAAATGTGAAGGACTAAATTTTAAGTGAGTTAAAAATTTATGAACTAAATCATAACGAGTCATATACTTAAGAGACTGGATTTTAATTGAGTGGAGGATTAGGGCAAAAAAAAAAAAGTTTCGTTTTTGAAAAAAAGAAAACAAAACAAAACAAAACGACCGCCGGACTTCGGATCGAAAAGAAAGTCAATTTTTCTTGCGGAAGTAGCTTCCCAAGCAGCGCAACGCTTGCTTTATATCAAATACTTCCAAAGTAAAGCTAAGCTGAACCATCTCGCCTTCTTCGCACATTACACAATACTAAAAGATGCCTCAAGATTCCGCCTCTGATCTTCTCCGTTCTGATGATTCTTCCCTCTCAGCTCTGTTTCATGAGGATGAGGATGGTGATGGTCATGCCCCATTTACCGATGATGAATGTGCTCAACGCTTGCAGTTTCAGGAAACCCTTGACTCTTCCTCGATCACTTGCCAAGAGCCAAACAAGGATCCTCCTCCTCCTCCTCCTTTACTCCTTTTACCTTCGTCTTCATCACCTTCTCCTCCTTTAAAAATGCCTGACAATTGCCCTCCCCCAGAAACTGACCCCGTGAAATGCTCAAATGAAACGGGCGAGTCCTCGCAGGTCATCTGCGAAATCTGTGCAGAAACTAAAGAGGCTTCCCAGATGTTCAGAAATCAGAGATGTCACCACTCGTTTTGTTCTGATTGTGTCACTAAACAAGTGGCCATAAAAATTCAGGATGGTATAACGGTAGTTTCCTGTCCTGGTTTGGATTGTAAAAGTGTTCTTGAGCTTGATGCTTGTCGGCCATGGATTCCCAAGGACTTGCTTGAAAGGTGGGATCAGGCTTTGTGCGAAGCTCTGTTTCTGGCAGCCCCTAAATATTATTGTCCCTTTAAGGATTGCTCAGCTATGTTGCTCATTGAGAATGAAGAACGAGAAGATCATCAAGCTATAAGGGAAGCAGAGTGCCCTGTTTGCCACAGACTGTTCTGCGCAAAGTGTGATGTTCCATGGCATCCTGGAGTTAACTGTGAGGAATTTCAGGGAATGGATGAGAATGAGAGAAAGAGAGAAGATCTGATTGTGATAGAGCTTGCTAAAGAGCAGAAATGGAAAAGGTGTCCCCATTGTAGGTTCTTTGTGGAGAAGACAGAAGGATGCGTGCACATCGTTTGTAGGTCAGTTTTTCTTACTGCTACTTCGTACTCAAGTAGTCATATGACAAGCTTTTTGTTTGGCTTTACTGTGTTGAAAGTTTTATCCATCTGTTAAATTTTTTTGTATAATCCTGGGTATTATTTTGTTGAAAGCAATTATGTTCAAAACACCATCGGTCACTAAATACAACACCTCTTTTCATAAGTATTCAAAGAGGGATTGAGTCTTGTGGAAGAGGCCGGTCCTTTCCAGCGTGATGAATTAATATTTGAATCCCTACTAAAAGAGGTGCTTACATTTAACATCTAATAGTGTTTCGAACGGGATTGATCTCAATAAAAAGATACTTGTAAGATTAGGTAAAGAGATTTGGCTGTGCAGGTGTCATCATGAGTTTTGCTATAGGTGTGGAGGACAATGGACTTCTACTCATGGAGACTGCGAACCAAATTAGATTATATAATGCCATATTTCAAGATGAGCATTTATCACTATCACTTGTCGCCAGTCGTTTATTATCAGATTGTGGTTTGTAATTGCAGCTAAGAAAAAGAAAGGTTTGATATTGAATTCTTAGCAATAGTGTTTTTCACGGTATGATTATAGAATCTGTCTAGAACTTTGAAGTATGGGAGACAGTTAGCTTCAGAATGTGCTCCCAGTCTCTCAATCATTTGTGTGCTTTTGCTTGTACAGTATGAAACTAAGATATATAGAGACATTGATGTTCTTAGTTATACAGAGCCATTGATGTGCTTAGGTTTTTCCGGTACAAGAGCAAATTATGATTAATCAGACGAATTAGTTCTTACGCTTGTTTTTGAATCATGATGAGTTACTTTTTCTCTACCTTCTCTGTTTCTATGAAAGAAATCCATCTTCTCTAACTTAATATCTTATTTTTGGATGTTCAATCTTGGCCAAAAAAAACCATGGAAGAAGAGGCCTGACAAGTGCTATCTATTTTGCGCTGAATGATAGCATACCATGTGATAATTAAACAACATACAAATCTCTTTCTGACCTCAACTCATCGTAGAATGCGTATGCAATGATAAATAATAGTACAACAGAACATTTCAATTAATATACTACTATTTCGCAATTAAAAAAAAAGAATCAAAATCCAATACAAATCATTAACAACATAATTCTTTATATTTTAATCATCATAACTATTAAAATATTTAATTATTACAAATATCATTTAATAACATTTCATACTAAAAATAATTAACCAACTCAATATTTATCCTTTGTAAACATGTATACACGTTTCATACTAAAATAACTAATTTGTAACATATGTCTATAAACAACAATAACATCTACAAACAATTCATATCTATGTGGAAGAAATTTTAAAGTTCCCTATTACTCTTTAGTTTACAGGTAATCACATAATGTTACTTATTAACTCTCAAAGAAAGTCTATAAAATCACACATAAATATTTATCAATATATACTTAAATTATTGTGGAGCTATTTTAAAATCTTAAAACCCTCCTCCAAGCCAGTTCTCATAGATCTAGTAATTTAAGGTAAGCACAAAATTAATTATTCGTAAATAAAAGTCTTCAATCAAACTCAAACATTTAAATTTATAAAACTTAATATTATATTATATTATATTTCATATATTTATATAAATATACGTCTGCGTCTACGCCACATATCTGGAGGAAGGGAGCAACAGTACACTGTATCATATATATATATTTATAATTTATAATGAAGAGCGAAGGTTGCAAATGAGAAAAAAGAGGATATTTGACTGTCCTGTTAATATATATATATATATATATATATATATATATTAAAACAACCCCAGTGTCCGGACAAAAGCAGATTCATGTTGAAGTGTGTCTTTGCATATATCAACACTCACAGGCTAAAGGGAAAATGTGGGTCTTGATTTTTGAAACATGCATATATATATATATATATATATATAATTTAAGAGAGAACTATAATGAGATTTTAAGAAAAAAATAATTATTAAAAAGTTTAAATAACAATCTAAGCAGCATGTAATGACAAGTCTTAGAATAAAAAATAACAATTTTTGAAATTCATTTTGTAATTATTTTTTTAATTAAGATTTTATTGTAATTCTTCATATATTTAAACCCGCACATGTACAGTATTGAAACATAGGATTACTTAAACCCGCTCATTTAAGAAAGCAAGAAAGGACGAATGAATTGGGTTGTCAAACGGAATAAATTGAAAAATACACACACAAGAGGGAGGACGAAAGTCTGAAAAGGGTTAATGGAATAAACATACACAAAAAAGCACCCAGTTATGATTGTAGGGCTAAAAATTCAAAAAGTAATCATAATAATAATAATAATTTGATGGAGGAGGGTACGCCGGTACAGAAGGGTCTCAAACGGAGGGATAAATAAATAATATACACACCCATTCACACGCGATTAAGAAAGGAAGTAGGGTCATGAAGAAATAGAAAAAGATTAGGCACACAGTAAAATGATGGAGCAAAAAATCAATTTGATAGGACAATTTCTATAAAATAAGCCAATGGATAAAGAAGGAGGAAAAGTAAAAGTTGAGACAAAACTTGAAGGTTAAGGAGATACCTGTATGAGCGAGAAGATTAAGTAGCAGCTAGGAGCAAGAAATGCAGGAGAAAAAGAAAAATTTATAGGAAAGAGAATTTAGGATTAAGATTTTGGCTTTTTATCTCGTTATAAAAATCTTTTTTAAAAATAAAAATAGTAATAGTAATGACATTTCTTTTTTTTTTTGATGAAACATCAGGGTATCCACCGGCGGACCCGGTGACTAATCCCTTCGCTGGCTTGTAGGCACCTCGATGGGTGGGACAGTTGGCCTGGGGTTTTAAAGCTTTTCCATGCCCAAGGTAAGGATCGAACCCTCGACACTTGGTTAAGGGAGGATGAGCTCCCACCGCTCAACCACACCCCCGGGTTAATGACATTTCTTTTTTCACAGACATCAAAAACAATTATTTTACAAAAGTACCCCCCTTCACACATTTTTCTATTATTATTTTATTTAATGCTTATATTATTATTTATTAATTATTTTTTGTGAATAATAATTTATTATTATTATTTTTAGCACCCTTTTTAAATCATTTGATTCTTTAATAATATATCTAAGTCATAATTGTCACTAAATTCCAAAATAAAAATAATTAAAAACAAATAAAAAATGTTATGATTTGTTCCTTTTTAAAAGAATTTTATTTCTAAAATTCGACGCACATACTAACACACATACCTATGTGAACAAACAAGAGTACTACTATCTCATCTTTTCCTTCATCTCCCAAATGGCCTATCCAGGAGCCATTCCCTTCCATATAATCTTTATAAGTCTAATGGTTTTATTCCTCAATTATTTGTCTTTAGCAGCTACAATCTTTTATTTTTTCAGCTTTATATGTTAGGTTACCCCTAAGTCTAATCTCTTTGAGCTTGATAACATGGGAAGAATCCATAATATGCTGTGTTTATATAATCTCTGATCCTATGCTGCCTAATTGCATCTTCAATTTCTTCCTAATTCTTCTTTAGTCCATAACTTGAAATAAAAGTGGAAACTGCGTTAATAATTTCAATAATAAAATTATGAAAAAACATAAGCATATTAAGATCATTTGTTCACAAATTCCAGAGGTTATTTTTCTTCCCAATATCGCTCAAAATATTCAATTAATTTATAATAATAATGATAAACTCCATAAATGATATCAAATTCTATAATAAAATAAGAGTTTATCAATAACTAATTGGGAAAATAGCAAATAAAGACCCTTAAATATATAAAATTATAGTTAGGGTTCTTGAATTTATGTAATTTTTGTCAAAGACCAAGTCTCAAATAGGAATTATAAAATGTCAATTAAAAGACAGAAATCCCCTTTTGCTTCTCATATCCATTTCTCAATCTCTCTCATCATCTCTATCTTTATTTGTTCCATGCTCCCAAAATCATCTCTTAAAACCTTATTTGCACTCATTATCTCTTCTACTGGATCCCTCTCTCTCTATCCCCCAATCTTTCCCAATCTAGTTCTATGTTCCAACATTGTCTTCATTATCATGGGCAAGAGAGATAGAACACCACTGACAGAACCAAAGGATGTGACTGGATGTAAAAAGAAAGAGAGGCTGATCCTTCTTCTTCAACCTTCGAAGGTGAGAGTTGGAATGAGCGAAGAGGAGAAGGACGCCATTATCACTGTTCATCTCCACCTTCAACGTAGAATCAAAGAGGACATTGTGGAAGCTGGATCATGAAAATAAGATTTATGAAACTAATAAGTAATGTTAATTAGTTCCATGTTGTAACAATGCAATGATAGAAACACAGAAATTCTGTCATTTGCCTTACTGAACTTGCATTTCCTAAAGAAATCTGAAAATTCTGTCATTTTAACAGAGAAAATTAAATTCGTATGAAATGCTTATCAGAACTTGTCATCTGTTAAAGAAATCTAAAAATTATCACTTGAACATAGAAAATTAAATTTGTACAAATTGCTTATCAAAAGTTGTCATTCGCCTTACTAAATTTGTTATGAATTGCTTATCAGAACTTGTCATCTGCTAAAAAAATCTAGAAATTATCACTTGAACAGAGAAAATGAAATTTGTATAAATTGCTTATTAGAAGTTGTCATCCGTCTTACTAAACTTGCCATAAATTGCTTATCAAAACTTGTTATCTGCTTATCAGAACTTATCATTTGCTAAATAAATTTGAAAATTGTCATTTGAATAGAGAAAATTAAATTTGTATAAACTACTTATCAAAAGTTGTCATTCATCTTACTAAACTTGTCATGGAATGCTTATCAAAACTTCTTAGTTGCTAAATAAATCTGGAAATTGTCATTTGAATAGAGAAAATTAGATTTGTATGAGTTACTTATCAGAAGTTGCCATTTGCCTTACTAAATTTGTCATGAATTGCTTATCAGAACTTATCATCTACTAAATAAATTTGGAAATTGTCATTTGAACATAGAAAATTAAATTTGTATGAATTGCTTATCAGAAATTATCATTTGCCTTACTAAACTTGTTATGAATTGCTTATCAGAACTTGTCATCTGCTAAATAAATATGAAATTAAATTTGTATGAATTGCTTATCAGAAGTTGTCATTCGCCAACGAATTGTGAAAGTTCTGTTAT